TAGTTGTATGTCATAGCTGCACATCCTTCTAGTTGCTGTATGTGGGACTCGGCCTCAGGATGGACGGAGAAGTGGTGCCTTGATGCGCACCCGGGGTCCGAACCCGGGCCACCAGCATTGCAGCACGCGCACTTAACCACCAAACCACAGGGCCGGCCCTACTGAAATAAATTAAATTCGACAAACCTGCCCCCTACTAGCCAGCCAAGGTGGAGACTTCCTAGAGATATGTGTATTTGAACAGAATCCAAATCCTTAACCATCGAGCCATGACCCAGGCATCTCATCAAGTCATTGGAACATACTGTTACCTAATAGGACCCAGTCAGGAGAAAATGTGTCACCCCAAATGTAGATATGGTAAAAAGTAAGGAGTGTCCTGAGCTGGGTGGGAGTAGATTCATTGCTTGGAGGATTGAGAAGCTACCCAAGGTTGTTTTAATGACTTTGGGATTTTGTGAAATCCAGGGCCTCAACCTTTGGAGCTCAGGTGAATTCCCAGGTCATCTTCCTGCTATGCTCCGGCTTGACTGAGTCCTGTGGCACTGAGCTACACCACTCTAAGAATTAGTAGACTTTCTGTTGCCAGCACTGCCACCGGTCCTGGCCTCGCCTGGAATGAGGCCTGGATTGACCTGGCTTATAAGAGTGCTGTCTTGGCACCAACTGCTCCATTCCACTATCAGGCTGATGTTGGAGACCTTAAACCACCCCAAGGGCTTAGAGTTTTCCCACTTAGCAGCAACCAAGTGCCTGACTGCTCTGGCCCTGCCCAGGAGAAACAATTCAATTGCACCTTAACTCCCCTCACTCCTAACACGGACCTGGCCCTTTCAAAATATGTCCCTCTCCTATTGTTATTGGTACAGATTCAATTCAAGAAACCTCATATGTCTCCACTTCACTAGACAAATTAAAAAGAGCCCAGCCTTCACCAGCAGAGCTGGCAGGAAGCCCTGATGGTCATTGCTGCTTCTCCTGCACCACCTCCACTTCACTGGGGGGAGGTGATAGGTGCAGGAGTAGCTTTGTCATTCTTACAGTCTTCTTAGAGCAGTGAAAATAAGGTAGAAAATAGCAGATTTTTCCTGCCAAGCAAAGTAGGCTTGCATTCCACAGCTTAGAACGTCTCCAAGTTGGTTTCATTCGTTAGGAATGTTGAACCATGCGCTTAGCACACGCTGAGCAGCCATGAGCACTCAGTAAGTGCTTGGGGACTGAATGAGGCACGTAGGAACCTCTGGACTCTTCCTACAGGCCTAATAGAAACACACAAAGAAAGTGGGTGTTTGCTGAGCAAAGTGGCTTAACTTGACTGATCTGCTCCACTCATTTGCCTCCACCATGAATCTCAGCAAGGGAAGTTTTAATTGGTTTCTTTGTTTTCTCTCTTTATCCATATAGAAGAAATATTTCTTTTGCTTCATCTAGCTTCTAGGGAAATATCTAGATAGGTCAAAGGAAGACAAGACAGCTGAATAGAAAGAGCTCTGAGTTAAAAGTCTAGGCTCAGACCCAGGCCCCACCCACAGACGGTCTGTGGTTGATTTCATCACAGTCTGTGGGCCTCGGTGTCCTACCTGCGGAATGGGTAGAATGAATCTCTTTTGTAAGTCTTGAAGGGGGGTGGGGGTGAGGGACACTCACCTGCAGGGCATGTGAAGTGGCTGAGTGCAAACCAATGAGCCAACAAAACACTTTGCTGGGTGAACAAAGGCTTCCTGCAGGCAGGATCCAACTCCTTGGCTGCCAGTTTGTGACCTCTGGGCTAGAAGGACCTGAACAGACAGAAGGGGTGGGGAAGGAGAAGGGTAGGAGCCAAGACTTCCCAGCCGGAAAAAACAGTGCGGCACATAGCGGGTGCGTGGGTGCCTTGGGAGGAGGAGGTCAGAGAGCTGAGCAAACCCCCGACTTAGGTTAGCACTGAGCTAATCTGTCTCAGAAGCAGGAAGCCCTGGCTGAGAAGCACTCCCAGTCTCTCAGGGGCCCAGAACTGTATGTGCTCATATTATTTTTTATTCTTGTCATTACTGTCACCAGGTAACTGCACATGGGAGCAGGCCTTTGTCTGGGTCTGCCAGAGCCCGCCCACACCCCATTCCCAGTGCCCTTTGGACAGGCCAGCCTGAGTCTACACAGCGCCCTGGCTCCCACCCACAGGAAGGTCTCGGTGGGTGTGGACTGCCTTCTGCGCACACAGGAGGGGGAGGCACTGATGAATTAAGTCATTGACCTTTAGCTCCTCCAATGCCTGCTCAGCTGCACGGCTGATAGTTCCTCATAATAACATACACATCTAGGAAACTGTATTAGATAAATTTCCAGTCATCAATCAGGCTAAGGAGATAGTTTTAACCAGAAAAGCCCTTGCTTCTTTAGAGTTGAGGCACCTGGAAAGGTGACAGCATCTCGCCCCATATTTGTATTAAAAACAACCCAGTAAACATGCTCCTGACACATCTAATTGTGTTTTTCAAAAGTTCTAGAAGAAGAAAAACATAGTTAAATCTTAACCAATGTACGTGCAGTTATTATATACATATATATATATTTTTTTCATTTTCCTCGGAAAGACTGGCTGTGGAGAATGAATCAGATCACAATAAAACCTGAAGAATTGGGTGACACGTTAATCGAACACACTTCCACTTGAAGAATTGCCCTGTTTCACTTCTCATCTTAGCTGGGGCTACACCCAGCAATTTCCATTTCATCTTCATCCTTAGTATTTCTGCTATGCTAAAGGGTCAAGGGAGTTCAGTCTATTTACAGGCCATACTGTCCTGTTCAGTTACAGAGGATGAGTCTGCAGTAAACCAGGTAACTGGTGGAAAGGGGTAGATTCAATTAATTGTCTGGAAGATTCCTGGGAGTCCCTGAGTATCTGTTTTATAAACAAAATATCCAGAGGGCTTCTGGAACTTTCACATTTTATGTAAAAACTATTTTGGAACCAGTAGAGCTGAATCCTTGCTTAACTTGGGAAATTCCCTCTGTTTCCCTGTGTGATTGGGGCCTTCGGGCTGTGTAAACTATTGCTAGTGTTTGTTCTGGGAAGATACTCGTGCTTGAGATGGGTTGGCAGTAGTTGCTCTAACTTGTTCTTTCAGGAGGGTGAGGATGAAAGCTTGTTTTTGTTTAGGGTCTTGGCTTGCTTTCACTTGAAACAGAGGAGAAGGAAGGCAGAAGGAAACGGAATGAGGTCACAGGCAGTAACTGGTGTAGGGAACGGCTCCATGGTCCCCCTGTGAAATGGGCCTTCATTTGTCAGCCTGGAGATGGAGGTCAGTTTGAAATTTGGAATATCCTCAGCATGTTGTCCTAGGAAGAGCCTGACTGGTGGGTGGGCTACAAAAGGATGTTATGGAAGTTATGGTCCTGAACAGCTTAGATCAAGGGTTCCAAACTCCTGTGTCTATAGGGACCAGGCTGGTATTTTAAACAGGATGAGAAGGAAGTGTGGCAAACTGGAGAATCTAGGCCCTGTCCCGAGGGGGCACTTGAATCCACTCCAGCCAATTGTCATCCAGTGGAAATGTGGCTCTAATGTTGCTAAATGTCATTGTTTTTCAAGAGAAGCTGGAAATTCAGATTTTTTTATGTAATCTTCTGACTTATTAAAGGTTAAGCAACTAATTTAAAAATATTTAAAACCTTAGGAGGATCATCAAAGTATATTTGCAATCAGTTTGTGGCCCTGCAATCAGTATGTGGCCACCAGTTGCTATCTCTAGTTGAGATATTTTCCTGGGGCAAGGCAGGGTTGTTCTTTCCAGGTCTTTTTAGGTCCATGAGTCCCTCAAGTAACAGAGGTTCACTGAGTTCTATGTGTCCCACAGTATTCTGGGCTTGGGGTGGGAGAGGGGATAGAAGAGTATAAGGCAGAGTCCTCAGCCTCAGTTTAAATCCTGGAGAGGAAGCAAGATTAACACATATTCCTTCCTTCCACAAATATCTATGAAGTACCTTCTATGAGCAACACATTATACTGGTGGTAGCTTATTTGCCCTTTCAGATTGTAAACTCTCTACCTCTACAGGCCTTCCAAGACAAATTAAGGTCGTAATGGAAAATTAGAGGTGCACAAATTGCTACAAGGCAATCTGATAAAATGCCAAAATGGCAGAGCAAATCCATGGATTCAGGGGTGACTTCCTGAAAGGGGGTTGCAGAGGAAATCGCTTGAGCAAAAGTACAGAGGAAAGAACCTGAGCAAAAGTGTGGAGAATGAGAAACCCCAGTGAGCTTAGGAACATCGGGAGGCTCATTTCTGGGGGAGTGAGGACAGTGAGGTGGCTATTGCAAGAGAGGAGCTGAGTGATGAGGAGGCCTTCACCAGGATGGTGGCAGTGAGAACATAAAGGGAGGGGACAGTGTGAGAGACTGTGAGACAACGTGTCGGTGGCATAAATAGTGCTTGGAAATGAGGTGAATGTTGGGGCCAGGGCAAGGCAATGGTCAGAAAATCCTCCTAGAATTGAAATCCGAGTACTTGGAAAATGTTGTAGGTCATAGAGTTCAGTACTAGGAATACAGACACACTCACTCACGTACATGCTGTTTTCTGGCAAGGAGACAAACAATGACTTTTGATATACTGAGATTTAGGTACCAGAGGAACAGCTAGGTGGAGAGGTCCTAAATATGTGGAAAAAATATTGTTTTAGAGCTTTAGACAGAGGTTGGAGATAGAGATACATGTTTTGGAGTATTCTTAATAAAGACGATGAAGTTTGAGGATAGATAAGATTGTTAAAAAGGTGGTGAGAGAAGAGATCCTAGTTGTTAAGAAGGTGGTGAGAGAAGAGATCCTAGTTGTTAAGAAGGTGGTGAGAGAAGAGATCCTAGCTGGAGGAAAAGTTTGAGGAGTACTGCATTAGGATGTCCAATAAAGAAGATTCTTCTGCAAATAGAGGATCAGAAAAAAAGCTAAAAAGGAAGGTGCAATACCAGCCCGCAATGCAGCTGAAGGCCAGAGAAAGCATGGACCCAAGAAAATCTGATAGTTAATGAGTCATCAAGAAATCTCCAATGAGCAGCTTCAGTTAGGTGGGGGTGGAAAGCAGAAGTCAGGATGCAAAAAAGTTTGAGCCAGTGGGTG